TCCCGGGTTCAGGCAATTCTCATGCCTCAACCTCCTGAGTAGCTGGGATTACAGGCACATGCCACCATGCCCGACTATAAAATTGAGTTCTTATAGTTCAATAAAGTTAATTTCTTATCTCTTTATGCTAGTATTGTAGAATTTTGGGGCAGGTAGTATCTTAGATTCCCTACATTAGCAGTGCTATATAAAAGAGAACTAATGCAAGTCACATATGTAATTTTGAATTTTTTAGTAACCATATTAAAAAAGCAAAAAGAAACAGGTGAAATTATTTTTGATTGTATGTTTTTTAACCTAGTATATCAGAAATACTGTGTCAACATATAATCAATATGAAATTATTAGAGATAGTTTGCACTTTTTTATATGAAATCCTTGAAATCCATTGTGTATTTTACATTTTAAGTACATCTCAACTCGTGAAATTTTCATAAAAAAATTTGATCTCTATTTAGATTCATAAAAATTGCAGTTAAAAAAGTAGATTCACACTGTTTCAAACATTGTTTTCCAATAAATCGAGTACCAAACAAATCATTTTTCTCCAATATTTGTATCTGTATTGACAAAAATTACTCTTCAGAATAATTGATTTGACTCAGAAGTGCAGCACTGTCAAAATATCCATGCAGGTTAAGTAAGTCCACTAACACTTGTAAAAACTTATTATTATCAACATGAAATTCAAAGGGGCATCATATAAATTGAAAATCAACTAAGTTTATCCATATCAACAAAGCATTTGTTGTATTTTTTTTCATAGGTTTTGCAGCCACTTTACACAGTGCTGTGCTGCTGCATGTTAATTCATGTTGAAAAATGTGTACAATCATTGATTTGTATTATAAAAAGCTTCAGTTTTAACATAAATTCTTGTACTTGTCTAGCTAGGTCATAAATAAGCTTTTTCTCTCCTCGGGTCTTCAGATCTAGCTAATTGATATGCATTGTGATATAGGGGTAACAGTGTAAATCACGCTGAGATTTCTAAAAATCTATTCCTGGTTTACTCTTTGATTGTTGAATACTGGCAAGCATTTCTTTTGTTTCAGGAAAATCTGAATTAGAGTTACCAGAATTGTAAATCTTTGCAAAACTCTTCCTTGACTCAAGCAACCAACAGTAGCTAGTAATGTGGTCATTAAATTCATTATCTTCTATTTCTTTTAACAGTTCCATAAACTGGTGATGATTTAGAGCATTTGTGCATATGTACTGAACAATTTTGGGGGCTTTTTGAGACAGAGTCTAGCCCTTTCGCCAGACTGGAGTGCACTGGAGTGCAGTGGCGCGATCTCAGCTCACTGCAACCTCCGCCTCCCGGGTTCAAGCCATTCTCCTGCCTCAGACTCCTGAGTAGCTGGAACTACAGGCATATGCCACCATGCCTAGCTAATTTTTGTATTTTTAGAAGAAGATGGGGTTTCACCATATTGGCCAGAATGGTCTTGATCTCTTGATCTTGTGATCCACCCGGCTTGGCCTCCCAAAGTGTTGGGATTACAGGCATAAGCCACCATGCCCGGTCTGAACAATTTTAATAGCTGCCTCCATGATACAGTCTGCCTCAGGGCACAAATATTTGCATTGTGTTTCACACAGCAGAACAAAGTAATCAGAGAAATAAATCCAACAAATACAGATGTTTGAACATTGTGTTGCTGGAAACTGACTTTTTTATATCTAGCTGAAAGTTACACATGTAGAGAATTCAAAAATATTTACAACATAAGATCAGTTTTTAAATTTAAGATTGCAAAGAGATGAAGACATTTCTCTGTAAATTTGAAGGTCATTTGAGACAGATATACCTATAGTATTAATTAGGCATTATCTCTTCTAAAATTCATCTAAAGCTAAAAATACTTGTAACTTTTCAAATGCTGATTTAATTGATCTTTAGTATTGTTAGAAGGGCCTTTTTATTCACTGACAGTTGCTTGATGTCTCAAAGGTTTTTCACTTTCTGTAAAATATCTTTTTAGTTTTTTTCCTCATAATTTAAAAATACAATTTCCTTAACTGAAATAATTTAATTTTTCATCTCACCATCTTAAAATTGTTTTCTACATTGAACAAGAATCTGAACTAGTCAGGCGCGGTGGCTCACACCTGTAATCCCAACACTGTGGGAGGCTGAGGTGGGAGGATCACTTGAGGCCAGGAGTTTGAGACCAGCCTGGGAAACAGGATACCCCAGCTGTATTTTTAAAAAATAAAGAAGAAAAGAACCCAAGCTGTTTTATAGCTGGCTGCTTACAAGCTCAAGTTCTGTAAAATCTTCAGGAATTTTTTTTGTTTTACATTTAATTCTGATTTCACTGATTGTGACTAATTTTGTTGATTATTTTTTAACTGAAGCCATTTTGTATTAAATTGAAATGCATTTGCTGAAAATGTCTCTTAACTGTTCTGTTATCTTAAAACTTTTTTTTACACAGCAGCTTTTTAATTTTGCTCTGCTGCAGCAAATTGCAATTGCCATTCTTTGTAAAATTTGTGACATACCTTGTTGAGTCTGTTTTCTTTTCATTTGATTCTTCCTCAGTAGTATACCTTCACTTGAAAGTAAAGTTTTTCTGTTTTTAAGCTAGAAAAATAATTTAATTATAAAATAATTAAAATAAGTATTTTAATTTAATTGCCAATTATGATTTACATAAGTGTCACTGTAACTTATGGTATCTGCATAAAATGTTCAAATAAACCCATTACAGTGCTACATTGTTGCATAGAAAAATCATTTGAACTGACTCATTCTATCAGTTCTAGATTGGTGATATGCTTTTGTGTAATGCTAGAAATGACACATTTACCCAACTGTGCACTGCCATATATCTTGCACAATTTAATAATAAAAGCAGAATACAGTTCTACCAAACTATAACATTGTGCTTAATTGTAAAAGATTTTGCACTGCTTCAGTTAAGAATTTATATTAATTAAAAGTTTTAAAACTTAAAATTGTATTCCTCAGTTGCCGTAGCCACATTTGCACAGCTCTATAGATCAGCTTACTTTGGTGATGAAAGGGTAGAGAGGCAAAGCAACTGGACCCAGTTGGCCTGGAGGAACAGAGCAAGTCCGTAAATGAGTCTGTACTTTAACAAATGTAATTTTATATCCAAGGCTGGCTTCATGTTATACCAAAAAGGATTACTTTAATTTAAAGAAATAAATCAGTTAATTTACTGTGAAATAATTTATTTGTTTAAACAACCACTTATTTGTGGCAGTTACAAGTTCAGTTTTCAATTAGATATTAATGGCATCCTATAAATACATAAAAAGCGATCTGAGTTTGCTCTTAGACTTCACTTTCCAGATAAATGCTAGCATTTCGAGTTTTGAACACTGAGTATTGTTTTATTCAAACTACTTGCATAAACTTATACAAACATAAAATGAAAATGTAAGCAGAAATTCGAGTAGAGTAACGATACAATTTCATTCTTCAGTGAATGCTTAAGGTTTATAGAGGTACCAAATGCCTTAAGCCCAAATTTACAGACAAAGTAGATCTTATCCTCTTAATATTTGTGCTGAGAGGGAGCAAAAAATTAAAACTTTGCACTATTTTAATTTCTTTATGTGGTGGTTATAAGACCAGTGAAGAATTTTTTCTCCTGCTGGTAGTACTTTGATAATAGAAAATGGTCCAGGATATAAAAGACTGCTTTTGCTATTTGTGGAATTGTTGGGAACTGACTTTACACACTCAGAATATGTTAGAGAAATCTTGATTGACTGCCTGGGTGGTCAGTTAATGAGAGTATGTGTTAAATAATTACATATATAACATTGTAGTGACAGTTTTCAAAGCATCCACTTAAAATTTTCATTTCTCTGAGTAAAAGACACAAGCCTGCTTTTTTGTGTAATCTTTTAAAATTACTTTTTCCCACCTCTTTCTCTCTCTTTCTTTCTGTCTCTTTTTAATAAAATGGTTTTCAGATATAAGATGTTTTTGGGATTCTGCTAGAGATGACCTAATTTTTACTAATTGCTGTGCTTTCAAAGTTTTGTTTGCTGAGAATGGCAGGATTATTTTTATTATTCTTTGGTAGTAATAACAAGTGGTTTCATGCAAAGCTGCATATTCAAAAGAATATCTTAGTGCCAGCTTGTCAGTTGTTTTTGTTAAAATTGGCCTTATCCCAGGAAAAAATTAAATGCTAATGCGTACAAGTTAAAGTTTATATTATGTGTGATTTGTTACATTATTTGCTTATTGTCTTGTAAAACACACAGAGTGTTGGTTTTTAAAAATAGCTTAAATATTTTTCTTCAAAGCACTTATCAATTGCCTGAATGATATAGCCACTGTTTTATACTTTTGTTTTGTAGTGCCTCAGAATGAAAGATCATTCTTCTCAACTCATCTGAATTCAATCTCTTTTAATTAAATTCTGTTTAAAATGTGCAGCTTTAACTTTAGTTTTTCTATTCAGATATCCCTACAGGCTAATTACCTTTTCCCTGCTTTTCACTTAAATCTCTCCTCCCCCCAATTCCCCATTAATTTGGATTGGGAAGTGTTACCTTAAAGCTTTAGCCTTAATGCTACATGAAAAGACTCAGTGCTTTTTATTTCATTTTCCATGTATTAGGCACCACTAAAAAGAATGTAACACGTGTAGCAGCTTATTTCATTTTCAAAGGAGGAATTGAAGAGCTTTTGAGTAAAAAACGTGAAAAGAAGCTCATGTTCATTGCCTACGTGGCTTTTAAAAAGACTCTTGAAAAACATTCCATTGTGAATTCCAGGTCCTCTTTAAACTTACCACCAGCAGTAACTGCCTGCAGAGCCATGTGATCATCTTGGCAGCAGCCAGGCCTTTTAGTGATTTCATTACTGTGGTTTCCTCAAGCTCTTTACACACATTGATTAATATTTTCCTTGCAGTTATCGCTGTGATGATTTTGTGGTCAATGACACCAAGCTGGGACTGGTACAGAAAGTCAGAGAACACTTACAGAACTTGGAAAAGTAAGTAATAGGCCTTTGGAAAAAGAAGGGTCTAAGAATGGGGTTGAAGTATTTTTTAGAATTTTTGAGTGGGGTTTTTGTCGATGAGTTTTATAACTTCATATTTATAATATGATTGAAATGTTGATAAAATAAACCTTGGCTTTGGATATCTAAAACTTGGCCCATAGTGGTCATAGCTCTGCATTTATTTTATTTAATATTTGTCATAAAACATATCTAAGGTCCCAAGAACCTGTTTTAAAATTATTACCCAACAATTTATAAGCTACTCAATTTATTTGCAAGGGGAATTTTGAGGGTACAAGGAAAGGGCAGAAAAAGGTGTGAAATCATCATAGAGTTACTTTTGATAATAGAAAACCCTTGTCAAATGTATTGTGAGGTCTACTAGGAAGCACTATGATTTATGCATCATTTTTAAGGGAAATTAAGTTTAATGAACATATTTTCCACTTTGCATCTATGCAATAGCACAGGATCCTAGTTTCTTTTCCTTGCTTGTTAGGGGCAGTTAAATACCACTTGACATTAACAAGGAGCTATGAATACTTTGTCATCATAAAGAAATGAAACTATTTATGTGTGAACAGGCTTTTCTTGGTATAGTCAAATAGCTTAGTTAGAGAAAACTCACTGGACCCAAGATTGAAGCAATAAACAGAAACCCAGCTAGCCATGCCTTTGAAGCTACAGTGCATAGAAGCATGGCTGTGGAATGACTGCTGACTCAAGTGAAATCTGTGTACATCACACCAAATCATTAAGTGCCATCTAATTTATTTTGGCAGTTGGTGTGTAGAAGTTATTGTGAAAACATGCACAAAGCAGGAATGCCTTAGCAAACTTAAGTGTAAAGCCCATAGAATGTTTCAAAATTGCATACTGAAAGGAAATAACCTAACTTCTTTGAGGGCAATACTGCGTAGTGTTTGTTAAAACCAGACATGTATGTCTCATTGACTGACTAGATTATAAAGCCGATACTGGAAGAATAATGATTTCTTTAAACCAATTAAAGTACTTCAGGTTTAAGTACTTTTTGGTTTGTCGTCTTTTGGCTCTTTTTCAGAGTGCTTCTCTTCTAGTTTGATGAGCCCTATCTAGGATTAGAGACAGATATACACAGATCCAAAATATTTAATTTTCTCTGAAATTGTTCACAATAAACATGAAGTCTGAGATTCCTGAAGGAATGTATGTGTAGTATCACTCTTTGGTGTGGTGATGTCATTGTAAAGGTCTTAGTAACTTGATTATTTGTTATAGAAGTGGGTGGCTACCAGAATATTTTTTCTGCCACTTATGGTTTTCTCCAGGTAAAAACTACCCTCTCAGTCTGAAATAAATTAATCAGAACTAAATCAAAGGGAAAAGAGGGCATTTGGGAACCTGCATGCATTTATATAGTTAGGAAATCTTTTATTTCCATTGACCACTTCAGATGAAAGGTGGCACAGACCACCTGTCTACACGTCTGCTTGGCCCCAGTGAATAGTCTACCTTACAGTACATTTCCTATGTTGAAAAACATTACCTAGATTCATTTTCGTGTTTTGCAAACATTGGTTTAATCTGTAGTGGAATTTAGAAACTACGATCATATTTGTGTTTTACTTAACTTTTGACTATTCTACATGCCCCATGGAGCAGCACTGTCCAGCAGAACTTTCTGCAGCGACGGAAGTGTTCTCTATCCACTCTGATGTGGTAACACTAGCCATACGTGGAAAGTGGCTAGTGCAACTCAGACACTGAATTTTAAACTTCAAGTTTAATTAATTTAAATAGCCACCTGGAGTGAGTGGCTACTATATTAGATAGCAGGGATCTAGAAGATTCTGCCTTTTGAGAGTCATTGAGGATAAAATATAGTAACTTACATTTTTAAAAGGTGAAATGCCTTATTGATATAGGTTACAACTGAAAATGAACTCTTAGGCATTGTCATAAAGAGCATATATACTATGCTTGTGGTTTACCTTCCCCACTTCACAGAATTTGTGAAGGAATAATTGAACACTATAGCATGTGGAATTGGTCTCTTCATCTTGCAGTTATCAGTACTGTGAGAGAGAGACATACAGTTCTGAAGAATATTTTGAGGTTTGAAGCAAATGTCACTAGTTCTCATGTTTCAAAGACATAATTCATGTGGAAGTTCTGTAAGAAAAAATAATTATGCATTTACTTTGGATTAACTTGGTACTTTTAGAAGGTGGGAAAGAATTGGCGGCCTTAAAAGTCTGTTGTTTAACCATAATTTTTACTCCCTTTAGATTAATTTGCCTGAGATACAAAAATTTTAAAGTGACCTTTTGAAAACAGAAATAACTTTCTGATAAATTTTAAGCAAAATATTTCTTACATCAAGAAAAATTTTGAGTGATTTTAATTCAGAATTTCTGCACTGATAAGGATGTGTTTTGGAATGCCCTTTGGCGCGTAGCTGCATCTAATGAATGTACATGTGCCTATATTCCTGTAACTTTTTTATCATTCCTCAAACTCAGATCATATCCTCATCTATTAAGACAAATGAGCAAAACATGACATCTTTATATCGAAATTAAGAAAGAAATAGCCTGTGGAGACTTACTGTTAAATTTCAGAACAGTCGTGTCAGACCAGGGTTTTCCTTTTGTTGTGAGGAATGAGCCTTCTGCTCTGTGAAGCTTCGCAGTGGGTCAGACAGTGAGAGTGGTGGTGGGGAGTGTCCCACGGGCTGCATCTTCTGGCCAGCTTTGCCAGGAGCAGCATCCAGCCCACCTCTGCTGGAGGAGCGGTGGGGATTTCCAAGGAAGTAGAGTTCCTCTGTTAACTTCACATACGTGTGGGCCCCCGTGGGCCTGACGAAGCAGTCAGGGAGGTCTCCCTGCCCTAGGTCTTGAGGGCAGCTGGAGTTTATTCTTTGACCTGTGGTGTAGCATGCATATATTAATAACTTTTTCACTATCTGTTTGTGTTTTAATAGCTCAGCTTTCACAGCTGATCGGCATAGGAAAAGAAAACTTTTGGAAAACTCAACACTAAACAGCAAGTTATTAAAAGTAAATGTAAGTAATTAAAATTTATTCAAATAGAAGAGTTAGTTGAGATTTAATCACTGTTTTGTTACAACTTTAACATGTAAAGTTACCTGTTACAGACTTTCTTATAAATGTGTGTCTTGGATTTGGAGTATTTTACACAATGTTTGCCACTTGTACTGTCGATTATTGCTGTGACCCCAGTGAGTCCATCTATCAGCACCTTCTTCCCATCAACATTACTGCTGTGCTCCTCTGCCCTAGAAAACAGTTTACTCTTAATACCTGCTCACACTCCTTACTCATCAGGAAACCCAGCCTTCATTTTTAAGACTAAGTCTTTAGGTTCAGGCAGCTTTTCCTTTTTTTGAGACGGAGTCCTGCTCTTTAGCCCAGGCTGGAGTACTGTGGCGCATTCTGGGCTCACCGGAACCTCCGCCTCCCAGGTTCAAGTGATTCTCCTGCCACAGCCTCCGCCTCCCAAGTAGGTGGGACTACAGGTGCACACCACCGCGCCTGGCTAATTTTTGTATTTTTATTTTTATATATTCTTTTTTGAGACGGAGTCTCACTCTTGTCACCCAGGCTGGAGTGCAGTGGCATGATCTTGGCTCATTGCAACCTCAGCCTCCTGGGTTCAAGCAGTTCTCCTGCCTCAACCTCCCGAGTAGCTGGGATTATGGGTGCACGCCACGCCCGGCTAATTTTTTCTATTTTAGTAGAGACAGAGTTTCACCGTGTTGCCCAGGCTGGTCTTGAACTCCTGAGCTCAGGCAGACCACCCACCTCAGCCTCCCACAGTGCTAGGATTACAGGCATGAGCCACCACACCCAGCCTTTTTGTATTTTTAGTAGAGACAGAGTTTCCCCATGTTGGCCAGGCCCCTCTTGAACTTCTGACCTCAGGTGATCAGCCCACCTCAGCCTCCCAAAGTGATGGGATCACAGGGGTGAGGTGCCTGGCCTCAGGCAGCTTTTCAAGATTAATATCCCATTGTTAGGAAAATGCGTGTTGGTCATTTATATATGGCTTAGAGTTAAAAGTTTGGGGACAAAAATACTTGGGGTATATATATTTATATTTTTCCATTTTTCTTAGTTTTTATAGAATCTTAAAAAGGCATTAAATCTTAAATGTTATTTTAAGGATTTCCTGTTTTTTGCATTGTGTACTCCATGGTACTCATTAATGGTGATTTCCTCATAAGCTTTCAATAAAATACTTCCTTTTAGAACAACCCCAGGATCAGAAACAGCCTTCTAAAAATATCCAGACATTTATACAGAGACTAGTTTGTTTCAAATATTCATTGGACAGAAAAGGACCAATTCCAAATTGGCTTGGTGCTAGAGTTTCAGAGGCCTTGCCTTAGCTTTGATGTTTGAAACAGTTGGCCTTTCCTTGGCATTACTGATGGCCTCTTCTTGCACCACTTACAGGGAAGCACCACTGCCATTTGTGCCACAGGCCTTCGGAATTTGGGGAACACGTGTTTCATGAACGCCATCCTTCAGTCACTCAGGTAACGCTGCAGTCAGAGCTTAAGCGTCTGACATTAAAGGTTAAGAGCAACGGCTCTGGCTTCCTATCTTGTCTACCACTAACTCTGGTCATATGGTTTGGGGCAAGATACCTTAATTTCCTGTGCCTTCGTTTCCTCATCAGTAAAAGTGGGGACAGTAGTTCCTACCTCATGGAGTAGTTGGGAAGATTAAATAATGTCATTTGTCTAACATACTTACAGCAGTGTCCGGCAGTGAATAGTTGTTTGCGGTTATTTCCGGTTGCTTCTTGAATAGGCTGGAACTGAGGTCAGCAAACTTTTTCTGTGAAAGGCCTGATAGTAAACATTTTAGTATTTCAGGCTACAGTCTCTCTCACATATTCCCCCACCACCCTGCCCTTTATTAAAACAGCACTTTAGGGCCGGATGCAGTGGCTCATGCCTGTAATCCCAGCACTTTTGGAGGCTGAGGTGGGCAGATCACCTGAAGTCAGGAGTTCTAGACCAGCCTGGCCAACATAGTGAAACCCCGTCTCTACTGAAAATACAAAAATTAGCTGGGCGTGGTGGCGTGTGCCTCTAGGCCCAGCTACTTGGGAGGCTGAGGCAGGAGAATCGATTGAACCCAGGAGGTGGAGGTTGCAGTGAGCCAAGATGGTGCCACTACACTCCAGCCTGGGTGACAAAGTGAGACTCTGCCTCCAAAATAAATAAATAAATTAGTTAATTAAATAAAACAACACTTTAAAAATGTAAAACTCGCTTTAAGAGCTGCGTGGTGGAGGGCTAGATTTGGCCTGTGGGCCACAGTTTGCAGACCCTGGATTACAGAGAACCTTGTTCAAAGAGCTTATTTCAGTCATTAGTTGAGTCTTAACCCATTTATGCCAGAGGTTGCAATTTTTTTTGTATGAAAAACCAGACCTTGGCGATGACCTTGAGCAGTAAGATATAAATAACTCCCAGAAACTTAGCATTCCAATAATGGAACACTAGGCATAAATGGGTTAATCAAGGTCATAAGATGAGATGTCTTCAAAATATGAGACAAGTAGTAAAAATAAAATAGTCAACAAGGCTGATCTAAGTTTTGTAGAATAAATTATTTTGAAAGTTGCATACTTTTAGATTTTAATGAGACATCAAAGGCCAGAATAAATGACCTTCCCAAGGTGACACTGCTGATAAGAAGCGGAAGGCATATTTGATCTCTCCGGGAAGGCACTGCCTCTCAGCTTACCTCTTCTTGCTCAAAGAGGAAGTTATAGTTACTACTGAATCCTCCTTATGATTCTGTACAGTGTATCAAAATAATATGGCCAGCTTCATGGTTTGTTTTTATTTGAGGAAATTACTGAATACCTGGAAACAAGCAACTGTAAAGAAAGAAATGGTGACTCCTATAACTGGAGGGAAAATTGGGGATTGTTTTGAAAAGGGATTTTGTTTTCAGTTCTTTTTTGTTTTTGTTCTTTACAAAGTCATCTGTCTATACTATTTTCTTAGAAGGAAGAATCATAATGAAGAAACTGAATGCAAGAGATTGCATTGAATACAATTTAAATGAGACAATTGAAAAATTGCAGTTTCAAAATGTATATGTAGGCTTCATCAACTTTCTTTACAGTCCTATTCTTTTCTTTTTACAATATTTTTCCCTTCCTTTTAAAATAGTAACATTGAGCAGTTTTGCTGTTATTTCAAAGAACTGCCCGCTGTGGAGTTAAGGAATGGGAAAACAGCAGGAAGGCGGACATACCACACCAGAAGCCAAGGGGATAACAATGTGTGAGTTGCAAGAATATGTCCTTTTGGCTTTGAGTTACAAAACAAATTACTCTCACTGGTGGTTTCCATTATATTATGTGAGCTCACAGTCACATGCCTTAAAAAAAAATCTTCTGAAAATTGTGTTTAAGTATCTAGCTGGCAATCTTAATAATTGTTGGAATTCCGGCTGGGCATGGTGGCTCACACCTGTAATCCCAGCACTTTGGGAGGCTGAGGTGGGTGAATCACTTGAGGTCAGTCAAGACCAGCCTGGTCAACATGGTGAAACCCCATCTCTACTAAATATACAAAAATTAGCTGGGCGTGGTGGCGGGCGCCTGTAGTCCCAGCTACTCAGGAGGCTGAGGTGGGAGAATTGCTTTAACCCAAGAGGCAGAGCTTGCAGTAAGCCGAGATCACGCCACTGCACTCCAGCCTGGGTGACAGAGCGAGACGCCATCTCAAAAAAAAAAAAAAAAAAGCACCTTATTGGGATTCTTTTATTTACCATAACAGGAGGGATAAATTTAGCATTCTGCTTATTAACTGCAGATTTGGGCATTGGAGAATTGGCATCTAGATGTGAAATGCAGTTCTACGAGTAGGCAACGATGAATCTTACTAGTCCCTGTGAACTGATTTGTCTCATAGTATTAGGTAATCCTGTCTTGGATACTGAAATTAATTTGTAGTCAACAAATTAGTTGTGGGGGAATAAAGTCAATTTTTGGTTGATATAGAGAGGGGGAAAAAACAGACAAGTGCTCATTAAGAACCAATCCTGTATCCTCATTTGGTGTAGACCTCTGTTATTTGTGGTTCAGAAGATCTATCATTATGACAATTGTAGGGGGTACATTTTTCGTGTCTTAATTTTACAGCTCTTTTATCAGAAGGACTGTGGCTCATACTCCTTATGTATTTAATGTTTTCTCTGTCTGCTCCTCCACTTCCACACACTCCCATTCTCACTCATTCTGAGGGACCATCCTGTGATTTGACACTGTCCTGCCTTGGTGGCTGAGGGAGAGTAGGACTCAACATGTCAGAATGAGGGGCAGCAGGGCCAGAGTCACAGTGCAGGGAAACTGGGAAGCCAGGCGTGGAGCAGGGCTGGAATGACGTCACTACAAGTGGTGTTTGAAGGGAGTTTCCTTCACAGCAGCATCTGGGATGAGTGGAGCAGCATCTAGGATGAATTGAAAGTGCCTACTTTCAAGGAGGCTTTGCACTCTACAGTAATCAGGTCAGAGGGGACAGCAGTGAAACAGCAGAAAAAATACATGTGTATGAGTTAAGAGAAGAATTAACGTAGTACTTGATGTATTCGTGTCATGCAGGGTTGAGTTTCAGACTGCAGAAATTGCCTTTGGCTGATTTAGGCAGAAAAGGAATTTACTGCAGGGATATTGGTGAGCTAATCATAATGGGTGAGTGAAAAATCAGGTCTGGAGTCCGAGGCAGCAGCACTGCAGTCACGGTCACCCCACAGAACTGTCCTGTAAGGCCGCCACTGCCTCTGGTGCCCAGCGCAGCAGCAGAGTTCCTGTTGCCAGCACTGCTGGAGATGGGTGCTGGCGGATGCAGCCATGCTGCTGCCTTGCACTCCGGATGGTGCTCTTTGTCCCCACTGCTACCAGAGAGGATTTGGTGCCGTCCCTTCTTCTTTGTGTCACTATGTGTCACTTCTTTGTGTCACAGGCTATGTACCTGTGCTCTGACTGCAAGGGAGCCTGAGAAGGCAAGTGTCTGGCTGTTTAGCTTTAGAAGTGGGAGCAAACTCTTAAAGTGGGGATTCTCAAACATAGGAAGAGGGTTCAAGTATTAGGAAGTCAAAAACATGATTTGTATTCCAGGGTCCTATGTGATCGTGAGGGTTGAGAAAGAAGATACTGAGATTCTCTGGGATATCAATCAAGTATCCAAAAATATGGTGCTTATATTGACAGCTATGGAAGTTGAAGTAGAGTTGGATCAGTTTAGCCACAGGTGTAGAAAACCAGAGTTAAGTGACTTAAACATCCATGGTTTGTTTTCTCACATAAAAGTCAGAGGCTGTCTGTCCAGGGTAGTTTGACAAAGCCATCCGGCTCCTCCTGGCTTTCTGTTCCACCAACCTCCAGAGGCCCTATCCATCCACATAGTCCACCATGGTGCTGGGGCTCCCCAACTCCGTCCCCATTCCTAGCAGGAAGAAGGAAAGGATTAATATAGGACTACTCTTCTTCTTAAGACATTTCCCAGAATTTGGACACACTCAATTTTTTATTTTGAGAGTTTATATGCCCAGGAAAAAAATGAGAGTTCTATTCCTATGCGAGAAGAAGAGTGTGGATATTGGGTGATAGGAGGGTGTACAGAGAGCAGTAGATGCTGGAGCAGGTCAGTGCACATAGAGGTGAAAGTGACAGGATCTCCAGCAGAAAATTCCTGCTGGAAACTGGAGAAGTTTACGTAAAAATAGTCATGAGAAAATCTGACTTTTGGAGTTGAGGGTCACTGGTGGAGAGCCGAGTGGTGACGGTTTGTGACACAGGCTGGAGTCTGAGGGTGCTAGTGAGTGGCAAGAAGGACAAGGCAGGAGGGGGAGAAAGAGAGCTGAATGCTTGTTTTGCATTTTGAAAACGTACATTCTTAAGTCATTTGGCCTATAACTCACCCAGTGCTGTATTGTTTGCTTGCATGGTTTAACTCAGAGTGTAGAAATATGGTGGTGCATTGGCACACTCAGAGTTAACCATATGGTTACAAATTAGCTTTGTCAGAATTACTGCTATTTATGTAAGTGTTCATTTTGTATGTGTTATGCATTTTAGACGAGTGGATACTGTGTTGGAATTGTAGCCTCTCACTAAGCTGAGGGCACTGTCCTTTCCTCTTTTGCAGGTCTTTGGTAGAAGAGTTTAGAAAGACACTCTGTGCTTTATGGCAAGGCAGCCAGACTGCATTTAGCCCAGAGTCCTTATTTTATGTTGTTTGGAAGATTATGCCAAACTTTAGGTAAGTATTATTTAAAGAAAGGTATTTTAAAACATTAATATTAGTGTCTATACTGTTCCTGAAATAATTCCTAATGAAGTGGTTGTATTCTAAATATTCTAAATACTTAACGCTAGTTTGGTGTTTTTTCTTTTTAAGAAGAAGAGTAGAAATCTAATACATCTGACTAAACAAATGTGTTTATTTAAATAATAGACTGTAGAAATGTCTTTAACAAGAGGTGGGGTATTTTGTTGCTATAAACATAAAGCCCTTATAAATAACTTATGTGCACTAGGAAAAGATACTGGACAAAATTTCCTTAATCCTTTCACAACATAGAATAATTACAATCACACACTGTCTTGTTATTCCAGCTAAAAAAATTAGTATGATCAGTAGAAGTGCATGGTATTATATGAACTGTTTGGAACTGAGTTTGGAAGCTCTGGGAAGGCTGTTGTCAAGGGCCTGGGATGCACTCTCTAGAAGGCGGCTGTGCCACATCCCGGTGTGGCCAGAGAGCTGCTGTGGTGCCCATGCTTTCTGTCTCGCCTCGCTTGAGCAAAATACACCTCTGCTGTACACCTAGCTATTAGAGGAGTCTCCTGCCTCTTCTCGTAGGCCTGTCATCCCTGTAGGGATTCGGGTGATGGCAGCTTTGAGGCACTGCAGGTGTTTGACAGCAGTCTTGGCCACCTTCTGCCCGTTTTACCCTTCTGAAGCAAGTCATGGTTCTTACTAGTTA